CTTCTTACATTTGCAAACAGGGAAGGGTATGTTCTTTCTGCTATTATGGTCATATTCAGACCATATGATTCAGGCACTGTCCTAATTCTTTTCGCACACATTTTTCATAGCTATCCTATCAGTAATTAGTCCCATTTTGCAGATCAAAAAAGGGATCAAATTTTTCCTAGGTCATGGTGTTAGGCCTGATAGAAGTCAGGCAGCCTGACTCCAGACCAGTGCTTTGACCTTTTCATGATTGGGTCTCAAATTTGGCTCTGCTGTAAAAATATTTGGGGGCTTTCCAAAAAAAAAAAAAAGAAAGAAAGAAAGAAAGAAAGCAACGAGGCAGCACGTGCTGGGGAAGAGCCCCAGACTAACTAAATCAGAATATCTTAGGGATGAGGTCTGGACAGTGGTATTTATTGATATTTTTGAAACATCTGATGAGTCTAATGTGAAACCAAAGTTAAGGACTACTTACTGTGCTATTACATTACTTGTTTTAGTACTAATTTCTCTTAATTTGATAGTGATCTGATAGTAAGAGATAAAGCACATCTAAAGACTTAAGACTAATAAGAACCATGGCAAAGATTTTACATACCTACCCACAGAATGTCTTAACTGTATAATATCATTTTTTATCCTGGAATTGTGGGCCATACTTAATATACCAGAAATAATGAGGGCCATATATAAGGAGAAATTCAGAAAACTCTTAAACAATAAAAGTACATGTAGTTTTTTTTTTTTAACATTTATTTATTTAACGTTAAATAAATTTAACATTTATAAACATTATAACATTAATAAAGAGGGAAACACAGAATCCGAAACAGGCTCCAGGCTGTGAGCTGTCAGCACACAGCCCGATGCGGGGCTCGAACTCACGGACCGCGAGATCATGACCTGAGCCGAAGTCGGATGCCTAACCGACCGAGCCACTCAGGTGCCCCAAAGTACATGTAGTTTTAAAAATATTGTTTTTGTACGTAAAAGCCAATTTTCTCTTTCTCCCCAAATATTAAAAATATTCGACAACCTACTTATATTTTCATGGTAAATAGGGTACACATGTATAAGTTTTCCCAAACCAGTAAAAGGTTTCCATACTACTAATTTCCAGAGTTGGGTGATTCTTTATAAAGATAGATGAGACTGTTAAAATACAGACAAATATGTAAATAATCATATTTTTACATTTAGTTTTATTAATTGACATTGGCTATAAGAATATAAAGTTACACTTAATGAGAACTACAGGTCTAGTTATTTCTTACTGAGGGATGACAGAATGTGAAAATTTATCATGCTTGTGAACAGAAGTGATTGAATTAAGATCACCATGAAACTCTCATCTTGAATCTCCTGAGCAAGTGTGTTTACCTCACATTTGTAATGTTCTGTTACTGAAATGTGTTTATTAAATTTGGCACAGAGTTCTAAACGAATCAGCTAGACCCCAAGTCTGGAATGGGTAGAATAGGTTGTTCATGTGGGTTGGTTTTAAATCATGCCATTTTGTGAAGCAAAAAAATACTTGTTAGAACCATTAAGAAAGTCACAGAATTTTCGAGTTAGGAGTGATAATTTCTTTAGTTATATAGAAACTCAGAAAGGCAGTTGTGTTTAAGGTTTTACAACTAGTGACAGAACTGAGACCTCAGACCACGGGTCTCCATTTCCTGTTCCTCTTTGCTGTCTACCAGATCATATACTCACCTGAGGGGGAAAAAAAACAAAACTCCAGATTGAACAAATCTGTTAATAGTTTCAATTTTTGGGAGTACCTGAGTGGTTCAGTCAGTTAAGCGTCCAACTTTAGCTCAGGTTCTGATCTCACAGCTTGTGAGTTTGAGCCCCACGTCAGGCTCTGTG